TTCAGATCTGCTCGTACATCCGAGTTCTACACACAGTCGTTAGGCGGTCGATACTAGGAATAATTTGGGAAAATATTCGATTTTAGTCTTCATTATCTTTAATGGTGACTGTCATTGTAGCTGGAGCGGCTTTCGCTCTAGATGGCTTAGCTTCCTCGTGTTTCAGCTTTCAGATCTGATTCATGTACAATCAAGCTGGCGGATGGATACATCAGGCGGTGTGTTCTTTGTCCAAGGCTACTCAAATCAGCAATAAAACGCTATACTGTTATGGAGATATGTCGCTACCTCTTGCCTACTAAACAAAAATCTGGTGAACGATCAATTCTCGTAGCGCGGCTCTTATTATTAGCGCGGTGTCTGCCTTGCGTAGACCGTTTCTTTGATCACATTTTACAACTTTGAAGGTAGCATAAACAGGGACACTGAGTGGTATGCCAGTCAAATTCCAGATGTTTCCGGCCTGGAAAGTATCACGGGAGGCTATGCAGAATAGACACAGCCAAGAGAGACTAAAAGCGGAGGTGAGATCAGTACAGAAAGAAAGGTTCCATATAGCGCTGACTTGCGTAGCCACGGACTGAATGACATGCGATAAATAAATACACCTATCTGTGCCGTGAAGGAGATATCGGTGACGTAGATAAGTTCTAGTTGCATGCTTAAGGGACAAGTACAACTCAGCCTCGCTTCTATTCTATAGGGTCCTCATGTCCCTGCACCATTCAACTTGTTTTCACGCTCTTATTCTTGGAAATTTTGAGGATGATGTTAGGACGAACCTATGTCCAGCAGTCTATTGCGATGGAGTCCTTGGCGAGGCCTTAGTTAAAGAGTATGACTAGGCCTCAAACACAAATTGTCGTACTCGTCACAAGCCTTTCTTTCATGTCTTGACCTCGACCGTGGATCAAGTTCATCAGGCAACCTTAGGGGCTTTCCACGAATTTTTGGCGATAGTCCAAAAGCTGAAGTAATGTGGTATTCCAATCTTCCCCTTCTTCACTCTGTTGGATCTCTCAGGCCACAGTCGATCCGCTTGGTGGCAGTACCGATCGTCACAGGTGGAATGCTTTTGGGTCACTCTTTGTTCAGAGGTTCTGCATTCTTCCCTCGCAGGCCTGGTCATGACCGCTGTATTCTTTTCCCCCTCTTGGCGCGCCTCTGGATCTCAATAATATAAGGAGTGCTGGAACGCAAGCAGCTATGATCATAGTATTTGCCTCCGCGCTGGATAAACGTCAGTTATGGACGCAGCAGAATTATTACCATGGTAGAATTCATTATATACCTCGTCCATAAGAGTAGGGGCACTGATGCGTCTTTGGTTTCACGACTATCAGCTCGACTATGCGTCCCAAAGTTATAGGTATAACTTACAGGTTGGATCAGCCAGATCGGCCAGCCTTTTAATTTGTGCACATCTAACAGTCGCCAGAATTGCAACCCTGGGAAAGGAAGATTAACGTTCGTGATTAAGTAGGGAAAGCGCAATTTTCGTGGTAGTGATATCTTACACTAATCCAAGCCCAAATACAGCAGAGAGCGCAGTTTTCCTGACCCACGTCATTTGCAGAAGCCGAAGGAAGACAAGTCCAGGAAAGACTGCCAGATAGAGGTCAATGAATGCAGAGACAGCTGAAGAAATAGTCACACCGGTCAGCGTAAACCTTTCGAATTTACGGGCTGTATTCCTCACCGCCATTGAACGTAGCAAAGAATATCAGAGTCGAAACATCGCGACACGTAGCTTGTCCCGCTTCCACCATTGCCGGACCCCAAATGGCGTTCAACGGCTTGCATTCGGTGATGAATATTATTATGGTGGCCAGGGCAAATAGAGGCGCCATGCCCGTTAAGATCCACATGAGGTTTCGGCTTGAAAGGCTGAGGACTCGTCCCCAAATCCGATCCAGATGAGCCGCAACGGCCAGCTTTGTCAGTGCGCAAACGAAAGTACCAAGAAGTAAGGAAACCACGTTCCACATCAGAGCTTTCGAAGCCTTCTCTGAGTTAAGTTCTTTATAATGCTGACCATATCCGTGATGAATGGACAACGTCGCCGCAACGGCGAACGATAATCCAATTCCCTTTTTTGAATCGAACCAGATCAGTATTTATCCAGAAAGCTTTAGGAGGTTACTAATGAACAAATACACTCACCATCGATAGCCCGATAATACAGTCGTCCAATCCACAAATATGCATATACTTTCTAACGCAGAGGCGAATGACAACGCACGCTGTGGCCAGAAGGGTCAAGACCCAGATCACGATCAAAAGCATTGGAGCTGTTCTCTGTGTGGCCACAGTGTCCATAGATATCATTTTATCAAATGTGACGGAGTCGTATATCGACAGTTGAAGAGCGAAAATTGATTATATTCGTTGTTCTGAAGACTCGAAGACCAGAAACAAGGAGCAGATTAGATGGTCTTGGGTAGTTTAGGTCCAGTGACTAATATTGTTTCTACACTAGCGGCCCATGTGCGACTAGGAAAAGTACATCCTACATCCGAAAGTCACATCTGTTTTATGGCCCCCGTCTGGGCCCCTGATTTTCACGTCAAGGTACGAAATAGTATTGTTACGCCCACAGGGTAAAAATGAGTATTGCATCGGCTGACTGACAGGATCCTGGTTCTTTTTTGTTACTTGAACATGGCCATTAGCGGACCTATCAACGAGCCGTGCTTCCACGCTAGCGTATAATACGTATGATATCAACTGATACAGTAATGATATGACATTTCACACGCACGTGTGCTGAACGGCACAGTAATCAGGGGTTGAAGGGTTGTGTGCGTAACGGGTCAGCTTGATTACTGGAAAAGAGATCTCTGCTCTTGTATTTACCATGAGCCAAATCATGGAGCCAACCAATTTTCGGAAAAGCTCGATCTCATCAGCTCATGCCGTGTCCTCACACGGTTATAAGATTTCCTTGTCATGAAAGGGCGAAGGCACTATATGCGTATCTTGAAGTCCAAACCTATTCAAAATTTGCGTATATACGCCACCTGCGAAAGGTAGACCCGGCCGTCTATTTGAATGATATCAACTCCAAGGAATGTGCTGACTTGGCCGTAATCGGTGAGGTGATATTGAATGTCTTTTTGATTCGGTCTTTTAGCCAGCTTCGCGCATCGTCAGAAGGTGTGATGATCAACATATCATCGACATGCAGAAGGACATAGAGCTTGCGTTTCATGTTAACGAAGACTGAGTGATCGGCCTGTAGGCGTTTGAATTCAATGGCAAGGAGTGCATTATAAACGGTGTTATACCACTCTTTTGGGCTCTGCTTCAGGCCCTATAGCGTTTTGAGAAGGAGGCCGCATTTCCTAGGCTCTTTGAAACCTTCAGGAAGATCTATGTAAATTTCTTCCATTAATTCGATGTTCGAGAACGTAGCCACGTAACCGACGTGATGTATATTCCAAGCGTATTGGGCTGCGATCGCGCAGAATATTTTGAAGCTCGAAGCCTTGGCCGTACTGGCGTAGACGTCAAGTTAGTCGATCCCTTCACGCTGCTTGAAGCGTTTTGCAACCAGGCGGGCTCTGTAAGTGCCGTTATCCTTGATGCGGAAGACCCATCGAAGTGATATTAGAGTCTTCTGATTTTTCGTCTTTTTAGAAGGACAATCATCCATTCACCAAGTACCATTTTTCAGCCGCTTTTGCATCTCCTTGTGCGCTGCTTCAAGCATCGTAGCCAGCATCGTAGCCAGATCCGTCGCGTCTAGCCAATCACAGGCGAGCCCTGATGCCTTACTTCGCAAACCGCTAATAGCAGAACGCCTCTTCCCTTAAGGGAAAAAAGAAAACTATCTGTTGTACGCCAGTTAAGAAAAGCTTCAGAAGGACTCATAGACTTTTGTTCTAACTGTCTGCGTGGTATCAAGGATCTCAAAGGCTGGAGAGGAAAAAAGAAAAGAGAAGAGGCTACAGTCCATCCTGAGTTTTGAGACGGTGCGCGTGGTGTGCGTTGCACACGTGTCTCCCATCCTCCCATGTCCAATCCTCTCTCTCGTCTTGAGTCCGTTCAGTCCTGTCATGTTCACAACACTATCCCCCCTAACTCCCTAAGCGTATATCCTAAAGAAAGTAGCCTAGATTATTGTTGTAACTTATATCTCTGACGAGACAACAAATATCAATAGATTCAATATAGTGGTAGTAAGTACTGAGTAGGAGGTAATTACTAACTAGTGATCGCCTCTCTACTACTACTATCTAGTCTTTAGTCCACCTCTGCTCCCGTGCCGCGTATCGAGTATGCACTGTGCACTGTACACTGTGCAGTGGTGCGCTCTGCGCCTCCATTGCGCAACAAGTGCACCCGGTGTTCAGCCAATCCTATGGCGCGTACCCAGTGCGCACTCTGCGCCTCCACCCCACGACGGGACCAGTACACTCTGCCCATCCAATCCCGTGTCGCGTTTCCAGTACGCAGTTACGCACTCTAGGTACCTATCTGGTAATACTGATCATAGTTCTTTTTACTAACACATCATCTTTAATCAAAGTTTTTCTTAACAGTAGTAGAAAATTCTGCCCCTCTTTCGAGTACCTCATCCAAAAACTCGATATCTTCCAGCTTCAGCGATACATCAGTGAAAATAAAGGACTAGTGTTGCCTTAGACTTATACGTACCTTCACACTAGTAAACTGGTACTAGAGGTGATGAGTAGGCCACTAAGTACGGTAGCTGTTACGTAGTTGCGGGCGTCCATACATCCGTAATACTAGACCCACCGATATGAACCTTGTAAACTTGTACTGGAAACGCTGATATGGATACTAGATAGCTACAGCGTAACAGTACAGGCGAATTAGGATATGAGTCGTATGATACGTGATTCTGCCAGATGGCGGTATCCCCGACTCCCGAGCGGTGACCTGGATTGCCGCCGTAGCCAGCAGTCCCCGCTAGTTCAGTAATAACGTATCCCACAAACATCGTGAAAATATCTCTCCCATTAGGAATATTTGCTATGATGGCCCGGCAATATGAAGTGAGTTGCTATCACATGCCTATAGAGGTCCACTTCTGACTTCTATAGGATGCTATTGAGTGTCTTAATTCGAGACGGAGCGTTGCGCAGCCAGACCTAAACCAAATGAGGGGTTCGGATGATATGTTGAAATGGTTGGAATTGCTCGGTTATTCTGTATGACGAGGCTTGATGTCACGACAGAGTGAAAATACTAACGCTCTACTAGCAAGCCGACTTGGGAAGACTGAACGTTATCCATGTAGCCGGAACAAATGGAAAAGGAAGCACCTGTGCATATATCTCGTCCATACTTCAAAGCTGCGGTTGCAAAGTTGGGCTCTATACTTCGCCACATCTCCTCACTATACGCGAGAGAATCAGGATCAATGGCCGACCGATAAAGGAAGAGACCTTCACTACGTATCTTTTCGAGATATGGGATAAACTGCCGCTTCAAGCTAGTGCCAACATGGACTTTCCTCGATACCTTCAGCTTTTGACCTTGCTTTCTTTCCATGTCTTTCTACAAGAAGGGGTCGATGTTGCAGTCTACGAGCCACACATGGGCGGCACTTATGACGCGACAAATGTCGTTCGGTCCCCAGCAGTAACAGCAGTGACTCGAATTGCGAAGGACCATGTCAGATTACTTGGGCCCGACCTTCAAGATATCGCTCGGCATAAGGCAGGCATCTTTAAGTCTGGTTGCCGAGCTTTCTCGGCGCCCCAGGAGGCAGAGGTCACCAAGGCTCTCGAGCAGCGTGCGCGTGAGCTCGAAAATGTGACTTTGTCATTTGTTGAGCCAGATTCATCGCTACAAGTGATACGCTTTCAAAGAGAAAACTGCTCACTTGCCATAGAAGTGGCTAAGGAATGGATATCGCTTCGGAAGCCTGCGAAATTGTTCAGCTTTAGTGAGCATATCAATAGGGGCTTACGGATGTTTGACTGGCCAGGGCGTTACCAGCAGATAACCGAAGATGGCAATCACAAATGGTTTCTTGACGGTGCGCACAATGAATCAGGATTGTCCACCGCAGTGTCATGGTTTGCTGAAACGAGTACATCACAAAGGTAAGAACTGGTGACCTATGAACACATTCTGTGATATTGTGCTTATTCCTGTAGTGTCGATACCTCAACGACGAGGATAGTCATATTCAGCCATTTTTCAGATCGTGATGGCGCTACTCTCTTGCGTACTATCCTTAAATCTCTCTACGCGGAGAAACTCAAAGTACAATATTTAATATTGACTACCTACAATGAGCGAGCTAACGGGCACGTAAGAATCGGTATGTATCCCAATATCATAAGGAGAACCTGGCAGGTTGTTAATATTATCGTAGACAGGAATCTGAGAGCGCGATCCAAATTCGACAAGTTGGACGAATACGTGCGTTGCTGGAAGGAACACGAACCCAGTACCAAGGTATATTGTAGACAGACTATCGAGGATGCTCTGAAGCTGGCTCGTACGATTGGTCAGGCCTTTAAATTGGCATATGGGACAAAAGAGACACATGTTCTTATAACAGGAAGCTTGCACTTAGTGAGCGGTGCACTTAGTATTCTTGGGACTATAGGGCAATGAATGAAGCGCAATGTAGTAGCCAGGAGCCCCTTCCCACGTAGTGAAAGGAATTTCTTTGAGAAAGTAGGTTACTCGTTATAGGAGGGCCTAGGAGCGGGTAATCATATACCATATGGATGATATACAGCTACGATAGGGGCAGCTGTATGATGTGAGAGAGGGATAAGGAGTGAGATTGCTACTGAGGAGAGATTTGACCATAGTGAGCGGTTGTGACGCATTAAAAAAGGCCAATATGCGAACTGGCGAGTTCACTGACCAGTTGGCCAGTGAATGGAGAGGAACTAGAGGGATCGAGGAGGAGATCACGTGACCCATGTTTTGTGTTCACGAAAGTCAGGTGATCATATTCGTGTTGTTGTGTGTTGGAATCTTCCACACATGAGGGTTGTCTATTTTTCTGGGTACTTCTATGTGGAACCTTCCGTGCGAGTCTTTCCATGGGGATCTGCCGCCACGCCGCCGCTCTATCCCACAATTTGGATTTGAGGCTTGACTTCGCCTCCCTCGCTTCTTCCTTTTCCTTTTCCTCTTCGTCTTAAACTCTGTTTCATAGAACACAGTTGCTTCACCTTCTTCCCTCCTTACGTAAATTCTTGTAGCTGTACTGCCTTGGAGTTACATTTGATGAGGTTGCCCGCCAGTCGGAATTACGCGCGAGGACACCGTGAACGCCGTAATAAACGCGCTCCTCGTCACGGTTTTCCAGAGGTTCATTGAATTTTATGAGGTTCAAAGGTATCATTGTCGTTGGTATATTGTATCGCCAAGTAAGCTACTGAATGTCTCACGTAGTCCCTTGTGTCGACGATCTAGTCCGTTGGGTAACGGTATGATTGTGAAGCTGGTCTCCCCGTTCTGGTGGTGAATGGAAGAGTCACTTCAATCACTCCTGTTTCGTATGGCGTGGCCAGGCAACGAGAGATCCTGATCCCGTTGAAAGGAGGAGCTCGGCCACTGTCAAGGAAGTATGGATGGCACGCGGTAAGACTCGGCTTGCCTTTAGTGCTGTAGAACACACTGGCGGACGGTTTTCCTGCATGTTGGCTGCCTGAGTAGGCTAAATATGCAAATGGAAGTCAATGCGCAAGCCTTCAATATCTAGTAGTCAACAACAAAAGGCGCACTTAACGAATTGCCAAGATACAAGATCAATCTGTAACGACAGAACGTTTCAAAAAGACAATGTGGTATGAAAGGGAATCAAAAAGCAGCCAAAAGCAGCAAAAAAATCTGTCAAACCAACAGATAAGAAGCAGCAAAACCGAGTCTCATCTTAAGAGCTTCTCTACAAACCAGTCACTTGTTTTCACAGTTGAAAGGCCAAGATCCCACCAGTCTAGCGCGCCCATTGAATCTACACCGGGTGCGAGAGACGTATTCCGTGCGCGTGACCGAGCGATCCGGTGCGCAGCGGCAGAGCCCACTGGCCCTTTAAGTTTAGGGGAGATTGATTGTGGTGAGACGTGCCATGCAGCTGGGGAGGCGATGTCATGGGCATGTGGGGAACATTGACGGTGGGAGGAGGCCCTGACCGCTGGGTGGAGCGCTGTGGTCGACCGGGCTGAAGATGTTCTGCCCAGAGGTGGGCGTTGACCAGGCGTCGTAGTGGCCTACTGTGGTGCGTTTTTGGTCCGGTGTGGCCGTTAGGCTAGGGTTATGGCTGGCGTAGTCGAAGACCGAGACATCGTGGGAATTACTTATCTCTGTGGTGACGGGTGTCCTGAGCACTGGTTGCGAGATTGAGTCTGCGTGATGTGGGGGCGTAGCGTTGAATGCGCGGTCGTGGCCGCCTTCAAAGTTGAGTCTCTCTTGTATCGAGAAGTTGCCGGGCATTGAACGGTTCATAGTGGCGATTAGTGTGGTGAGAGAAGCAGAGGCTTACTCCACAGATGAAATGGGTGTCAACAGACCATCTTCGACGCGCTCAAGAACTTCGATGATTGCCGGTACCCCAGCAGACTCGCCATCCTCGTCACCGTCACTCTTGTGGCTGGGGCCCAAATTCTGGACGTAAACGTCTATTTTGGCGTCTGAGAGATGCCCGCTAGTAATCCAGTGTCTGAAATTGATAGGTCTTGACCTACCAACATCCCCGCGCTCAAGCACTCCTCCATTTTTCGCACCTGGAGGATCTCGTAGATAATCTTCATATGAGAAGAACGCTTCAAACTTCGCTTGGTGTCGCCAGCGTCTTCCTTGAGCTTACCGACAGTGATACCATACGTTCCAAGCTTGCGGATGATATGGAGCAGGGAGTTTAATGCCGTCTAGGGATCATCGGTATGCCCAGCAGGTCAGCGGAAAGACAGGGCCATACAGTCTTTCCTCAAGTGGTCAGGCGCCTTGTGTATCACTCCCCGGGGCCACCATTTTGGCTTGGTTTTCTCCGGGTCACCCGTGGAACCGGGAACAGAGCCCGGCGGAGGCTTGCCTCCGTTATAGGGATGTCGGACCTATTTGCGAGGCTCGATGAATTTGATGAAGGCCTTAGTAACCGCGCAACAGTTGAGCTGCTAGAAGTGCTTGAGGGCACTCTCGTAGTAGCTCATGACTTTCTGGGTGTCTCCAACGCGGATAGGGATCATCTGGCTGGATCCAGCGGGGGAGAGATCCTGGCTATTAAGTATGCTCCTTCAGAGATCTTCTCGTATTTTCGAACCCGTCACTGATAAGCTCATACTTTCCAGGTCCCCGTTCGTGCATCTAGGGCTGTCGAATGCTCTGCGCTATGCTCTGCGCTGTGTGATAAGACTGGAGGAGTTTCCCTCAAGAGACAGCTCTGTTTGATTTATCATCATTGCCTGGCTGCGAGAGGACCAAGGGATCATCATCGCTGAAGGCAGTGAGCATCGCTGGCTGATTTACGGAGCGAATAGCCGAAGCCCGTTCGGAAGTACCGCCAAGTCAACTAATGGAGATGCACTAGACTGTACACGCTGTTTAGGTCTCCCGGTTGAACTTCTGCTAGAATCATATTGTCTATATCTCTGGCTTTGGCGTCTCGTACCAAGGGGCCGTCGCGTTGGGAATCATATTGGCACGGTCTTTAGCACTCGACGTGGAAACTAAAAAACGGTCAGGATAGTGTTCTGAAAGGTACGAAGTTTGATGTCGATTAGTGTGACTCGCCATTCAAATCCGGCCTTGATTTGCTCATTGAAGTCTTTGTCTTCCTTTCTTGGCGCAGGACAGATACTGGACACCTCGCGCAAGGAATTGCACGCCTTATGACTTTTGAGCCTTAGTGCGTTTGGCGTCTGGAAGAGGACGATTGGGTCCGTGTCGCTAAGCAGCTAAGAAGTCTCGATCTCGTATCGGGTAAAAACTCTTACGGCACTTTACTTCAGTAGAGCAAGATCTGCCAGTCTGGCGTCCACTAGTGCGGAGAAGGGACACGCTGATTTTGACCACATCAGTAAGTCGTGGCGCCAGACTTCCGCCTCTGGACCCATTTCGGGATCTGTGAACCAACTTCGGAAGGTCTATGATGTTAGTGACACCAGATTGTTTCAGATGCAGATATACATCCGGGGTATCCCAAAGGGCGTCCTCTGGTAGAAAAAGGTCAAGGTCCCGAGGAGCATCCATGTCTCTTATATGCCAATTCTGCTGCACGCTTAACAATGACCCGGATTCAGTCCTGTAGATCCATCCTAATCTACGCCTGCTTCTCATCCATGCTGCAACGGTCATTTAGTTCCATAGATGCTAGCATATTGTATGGGTCACAGGTTTATAAGAGCTAATTGGGACCTGTGCGCTACTATTATACCATAAGCAGAAGCCTTTCTCAAACCACTTGATGGCTTATAAGGATTCGATTGACGGCTGCAATTGGTCGGCTATTTATTGTTGGCTGAATCCCCTGTGTCAAGGATCATCACCCTTGCGGAAATTCCCAGGCTGCCTAACTTTTTTCCCTTTCAACATTAGCCCATTTCTCACTTTCATCAGCCTCCGAAGTCCTTCACCCATCTGATCCGAGATGTCTACCGTATCCATCATCGCTCAGATTGAAACGTGCCTGCAGAAGGCTGAACAGCTGAAGTCAAAGATTGACAAACTACGTCCCGCAGATGAGCAATGGGATACGCTACTTGACTTGACTTCCCGACTATCGGAATGCACGAAATTCCTCCAAGAGAAAGTACGACTACGAAAGGAATCCCATTGCGCCCGGGCACAGAACGAGAAGAATAAATATACAAGCGATACGGTCACTTCTAGACGAGCACTCTGCAAGAATGGAACTTTCAAAGCGACAATCTTTCGAAGAAATATCCTTACAATCTTTGGCGAGACAAAATTCTCGACACTTGATTCTTCCAGAAACAGGTTGAGAAAGGAAGCTATAGTGAGAAAAATTGAAGCTATTCGAGGCCTTAATCCGGACACTATTGTTACGTGGTCAATCACCTTTGAACCGAGTCGCTGGACTAGCGATAAAATGGCTTTCAAGGTTGTCAAGCTTGTGACAGAGTTTCTTGAAGAGGAAACCCCATGTGAGTGGCCGCTCGTAGTAGCGGACACGTTGGACAAACTCCAACAAGAAGAAGGCATTCTGCAAGAAAATCGAGAATATGATATATCTCGCGAAGGTAAGTTCTCTTGTCCCTATGAGGAACCACGCTTATCAAACGACTAGCCATAAAGCAGCCCTACAGAGACAGGGAATCCCAACATCTATCTAAGAAACAAACACGGAGTACAGAAGGATCCTTAGGTGACCGATCCTCAAGCGAACGAGCAGATAATGACAATTCGTCAGGCAGGCGTAAGTGATGCGTGTTCATAAACAAAGCCTTGCTAACAGGAAAGCAGGGATCCAATACGTGTTTTCGAAAGCACCCGTCGACCACATACCGTTCTTGGGACCTGTTGTTTCCAAGGCCATTCAGGCTAGTAATCAGTGCAAGATGGAAAGAGGCCTGGGTGAGCCGATAACTGATTGCTGCAATACACTGCTACCAGAAGGAGAACACGAGGACATCTCTATCACATTATGCGTTGGACGCAGAGAAGGTTTCGAAATGATCAGCTTGCTCAAGCAACAGAGGACTTGGTCAGCTTAATCCAACCGTCTATCACTTCGACCTCATATCGCGGTGGAACAATGTGCTTCCCGGCCGTTGTAGTACGTTTATGCGGCCAAAGTAGCGGTGTTCCCTTGATTACGTTCGGATCAGTGATCCTGATCATAGCAGCTCGGCCGTATATAGTTCTTTCGCAATCTTCTGCGTCAAAAATACGTGCCGCAGCATATTCGAGTCCTTCGTCGCGAGAGTTTGAGCACTATTAAAACCTCGCTTTAGTATTTGACAAGAAACGCGTGTGTCGTTGTCGTACCTTATCGGTCGTGATGAACGGTCTATCGAATAACCTGTCTTCCCGGCCTTGATATACGATTCGTTGAAGAACCATGCCCGTTCAGAGCATTATTCAGTGTACTCGCGACGCTATATGACGAAAGGGATAATAGGAAGTTGGTATTCTGGTGCAAAGGTCCAATGTAATGTTTCGAAACTCGGCACGGCCGGTTATCGTTAAAGTCGCACACAAAGTGGGGGAGGCTACCTCATGAGAGGTTGCGCGCCTTAAGTTATATTTACCGCACGACTTCATGTCATATGGGGAGTCAATAGTAAATATACTATTACTTATGATCCGTAGAAGATATCGCAGGCCATAGATATCGGACGTGGAAACTGGTTAAAGAGTTTGTTTGTATTGATGCCCAACGGATGGTAACTAAGGTCATCGGAAGATTAGTACCACGTGCCTTTTCTGTTATCGGAACCAACTGTCATATTTACCGCTTTCGTACTCACCGCTTTCCTAAGACACTCAATCGCGGTAGATTGACTCCCGCCCACCGAAGCGCCAAAACGGAATCTTGTTTCGCTGAAACGATGAATTTCTATATACCTGCTTATATCCAATTCCGGCACAGTAAGATACATCATTATTCATGACACCATGAAGGCAGGCGTAGCCTGTTCCCATGGAAGTTTCTAAAGTATAAGAGGAAGGAGTACCGAACCTTTGACGAGTGACTGCAATTTGCTGAATGTATAGAGACCTATATAACAGAAAATTCGCAGAACATTATAACTGAAATCACACTGATAACCGAAAATTAATGAGCGAATGGTCGATAATAGTAGCACTAGCGATGAATCTGTCCATCCGTACCATGCCCGCAAAACCACCTAGACGGATAGGTATGTATAAATAGTGCGTAGCGCAGACTGAGGGGCCCGCAAAAGTCCGGAACCTTCCAAACTAATCAGCTTATATCAAGCAAAGCACATAGCGAAAAATTCCTCACCTCACTGAGATCCCGGGACCTGTGCCTTACACTTTTCACAAGGAAACGGCTCTGGGTGAGTCACGTTGTTGAACCCACATTGCGGACACTTCATTTTGGATATGGAGGCGTTCAAGAGGTACTTCAGTATTTTGATTTGAAGTGTTTTGGTTTGAAATATTGTGGAAATTATGAATGCTTCGTGGATCCTGGGCTGGGCCACGTACTTATACCCTGGAATGGGTTGGGGAACGGAGGTGTAGAACGGTACAAGGCTTTAAACTAAACAATGTTCAGTCTAGTTCGTCCTCGCATCTACTGCCGACGAATGACAAGTAGCTTAACAATCCACGTATGTCAAAATCCGCACGCATGCGTAAACAGACAGCTTCAGAAATTGTAGATCAAGAACCTTTGGATCGTAGCATTCGCCAACCAATAGGAAATAGCCCATCTCTAGATGCGTCTCCACCTACAGACATCGCTTGAGTCCTAGAACGGGGGCCGTAGCGACGAAACTTCGGCAAACATGTACGCCTAGAGATTTTCAGAACTTGTGCAGTCGTAGTTCCCGGAGCGATGTACAAAGTTCCTTCCCCGTCAATCCAAAGGGTGCAGCATGGATCAGGCCAAGAAGTGACAGGTTCCCTTCCTAAAAATTAAGCAGATCTCTGCACTGTCTCTGCCCGATGTGTTTAATCCTGGTTGGACATCGCCAAAATGTGGTGTCAGCCCATGTGCCAAAAAAGCAATATAGCGGGGTGTAATCCTGTTTGAAGACACTCACGTGAGCGGTGAGCTGTCCCATATAATCGACTTCTGAACAGATGGCAACTTCATGCTCTTCATGCATTTTCGTCATGGAAAAACCGGCCAAAGGTTGTGTTGCCTGTGGTTGGACATTGGAACAGCAGGAGCAATGCTTATATTCCAGTCATATAAAACTCTTCTATGGAGCGAGTCGACGTGGTGTCTGGTCCATCGGGTCAGATGTTGTCCTGAAAGAGCGCCCTGATGAGGGGCCAAAAAACGAGGCGAAAGTGTTGAATCACCTTTCGAAGTACCCTGATATCCCTGCTCCGAAGCTCATACGTGACTGGGTTGATGACGACAAGCAATATTTTGTGCTCCTAGAACGCATAAAGGGGCAAACACTTGAAGAGACGTGGCCTACACTATCCAAGTGCCAGAAGACAGCTATTGCAGACCAAGTTGTCCAAATTCGCAAGAAGCTACGGTCCCTCACGTCGAATTCCATGCAAACGGTTGATCAAGGCCAATGTTATCCAGCGCTACTCTTGCCCGACCGTGCGCCTCATGGACCTTTTCACTCCGACCTCGAGCTCTGGAATGCGATTGCTATTACGCTTCGTGATTCGCCGGGAAATTGTTTTCCTCAGCGAGTGTTGGAGAATTTGAAGAAGCGTTTGCCCACGTGTGAACCTTATGTACTCACACACTGTGATCTTAATTTGGGCAATCTTATCGTCAGAGACGGGGCGCTGGTCGGAATACTCGATTGGGAATTTGCCGCCTACTACCCTGTATGGTATGAATACGTCTCAGCGTCTTGGGGATGGACTGAGGCAGATGCTGAGTGGAAAAACTTGCTACAACAGCGTATGGAGGAGCACGGTGACGGACATCGTGACGCGAAGGACTTCTGGATGGATCTTCGTCAGTTACGAAAATTCCCGAACTTGGACGAAAAGGGTCAGCAAGTGTTGAAAAATCTATCCGCTGAATGACGACTATCCGCTTCTTGTATCTCATTTATCTTCATTTGACCTAGCAAGGAATGGATGAGTTGGCTTACCCCCACGCCGGGGTCAGGTCCAGCGGAGTCATATATGCTTGGTCCGAACAACGAGAGCGGAAGAGATTGGGCTAAGAAGGACAATTTGCATGCGTACCTAGAAATTGAATTTCATTTATAGCATGGGTACAACTATATGTCTTGGGTACTTGCGGCAGGTAGATATCTCAACGATTTCCTCTGTGTCCCTGTCTGTATCCAGAGGCTGAGTAGGCTCCCACATCCGTAAAACATCAAGGAAACCTTCAGTCATCGGCTACAGAAGCCATTCTAGCCCCGGGAAGATCCTCTTAGGAACGAGTGAAGTTCCCCTCGAAGATAGGAAGCTCCCTTGCAGTGGAGACTCAGGAAATTTAGCTCTGCCTGATAATTCTCGAACACATTCTGCTACCCAAGAGAAGGATCAGCCGCATGCACAAGTCAGTCATTTCGCACTTACATTCATACTGTACATAGCACTACGAAAAAACGAAAGCCGAACAAGGAACAAGTAAAAGGTCGAGTACTCTATCTCCCATCAAGGCCAGCCGCACATTTCCTGCAGATGCTCGTCTTGACTCTTCCAGAGCCTCCTTTATCAAGACCCATGCATTGAAATGATGCCCAAACACTTTCTCAAGACTTGGGTTGAGTTCCGAGTCCATTCAGTAATGGTGTATTTTATTACGATGTGTAAGTTAAATAGTTCGCGACGGTATGTGAGAGTCCTTTAAGTTTTATAGGATTATCGTAAAGTCTACGTAATCATGACATCGGTATGAGCATCAGGAGTTGAGGGACTATTATCATATTCGGTAGTCGACTAATACAAAGGTCGGTGCGGCTCACGATTAAGAAATATGCTTGAAAGTCCATCACGGAAGCCCGCGAGGGCCAGTCTCTAAGTAGATAATCATCCTTCAGTAAAGGCAAACGGGACTGTGCAATATTACTTAAAGCATATTCATAGTCGGTCTGAAAGTTGGAATCTCAGCCTCTGTGTAATATTACGACCATCTCCTATCCCAGAGCTGCAGTGGAGCTCACGAAGGTCTATAACCCGTTAATTGTACCGCTTTTTGGGTTGCCTCTACCGACTCTCTTGAACGCGTGAGCGCGCATTACGTTGCACAAGAACCTATATCGGATGGACGTTGCATCAAACATAAGTAATTGGAAGATAATTTTTGGGTATGACTACGGGCCGACTTACTTGGCAGAAAAAGATGGTAGACAGACTTGCGGCGCCGGAGGAAACGGGTTCAGGACGGAAGAAGCGGTTCCAGAACGGGGGAAATGGGTTCAGGATGAGGAGGATGGATTTAGGATAGTGGAGACAGGTTTAGAACGGAGAAAGCGGGTCCAGAACGGGGGAAATGGGTTCAGGACGAGGAGGATGGATTTAGGATAGTGGAGACAGGTTTAGAACGGAGAAAGCGGGTCCAGAACGGGGGAAATGGGTTCAGGACGAGGAGGATGGATTTAGGATAGTGGAGACAGGTTTAGAACGGAGAAAGCGGGTCCAGAACGGGGGAAATGGGTT